TTTCCGAGAAAATCTAGTTCCGCTTGAATAGTTAAAACTCGAGCATAAAAATCAATTGTCTTTATTGAAGAAGAAAATTATGGGAACTCAACAGAGTGGTCTTTCGAAATACCACCAGTGGATTTTATTTGCAAAAATTTAATTGCAATACAGAAATTTCATGAAAATATTTTTTTCACTCTATATGTTTATTCTATATGTTTTTTTTTAAAGATATTTAGAAATTATTTTTTCACCTTTTTGTAGATTGCTATTACAAAGCAACCCAATAGTCCTGTCCAGTTGTGATGACACTTCAATTTTGTAACTTTTTTCTCACCATTTCCAAAAAGTAATTTCTACTTAGAACCATTTTCAATCTATATTTCCAAGTAAAAATGGATATCATTACTACTTGATATCAGGTTGCCTAAAGAAGGGTTTTAAATTTTTGAACTTGTGATAACAGGACCGAAGCTTCCACAATTAAATTATAGAAAATTATTTATTTTTATATATCATTCTATATTAATTAAATTGAAAAATCAATAGCTTTTATGTATTCACTAAAACTAATCTGGACTCTCAACTAATATTTTTCGAATAGTCTCTTGAATAGTGTAGAGATTTGCAAATATTAAAATTTTGATGATAAATTATTTTTTTTAATTACAAAGAAATGCTCTGGCTGATCTCATCCAAAAATACTCAATTTCTAAACTAATATATTTTCGAATAGTTTCTTGAATAGTGTTGAGATTTGGCAATTATTAAAATGTGATGATAACATGTTTAATTACAAAGAAACGCTCTGGCTGATCTCTTCCAAAACTACTCAGAATCCCCAGCTAATATTTTCGAATAGTTTCTTGAATAGTGTTGAGATTTAGCAACTATTGAAATTTGATGATAAAATGTTTGTTTAATTACAAAGAAACGCCCTGGCTGATCTCTTCCAAAAACTACTCAGAATTTTCAACTAATATTTTTCGAATAGTTTCTTGAATAGTGTTGAGATTTAGCAACTATTAAAATTTTGATAATAAATATTTGTTTAATTAAAAGAAACGCTCCGGCTGATCTCTTCCTTGGCGTGTGTGTGCGGATACAAACTTTTGTCGACGATTTCTGGAACACGGATCAATCGATTTGAATCATTTAAAAAACATTCGATCCGTATTGATAAGTAAACGTGTTGATTAGTTTTTGGCATAGGCAGGTCTAGCCGTTTCAAAAGTACGCGGCAAAAAGGACCAAAAATAGTGATTCAGTTTTTGAGAGAACGAAGCGTCCGATTTGAATAATTCAAATAACAGTTTACTAATATTGACTAAACGAAGAACTGTTCAAATTTATGGGAAGGAGGTCCAGCGGTTATAGACTCTCAATTTTTTGGGTTTCGTACTAAGATTTTTAATTACGGTACGGGAAGTTCCAGCAATTTGCCTTAAGGTGCAATGCATACACCCCACTAGTTTATTATTATTCAAAATGTTGAGTTATTTTCGATAATAGTATTCTGGAAACAGATGTTCGCGCCTCCCTTAGATCAGCCTGGTGCCCCCCTGGGGGGTGCGTCCCACAGGTTTGGAAAACGCTGGATTAGCGTTTTCCCAAAAAAAATTGTAAAAATCCGATATTATCGTGGCGAATAACGTGTTAAAAGCATTAAATCTTATAAGTAACACTTACCTGTTCATGTAAAGTAATAACTTGAATATTAAATTTGACACATGGGGCCATGGCGCCAACCACAAATAAGTCATAATTAACTTATTTGTTATTAACACACACTTTTCAAATTTACTATATCAAATTTGAAATACAACCATAACTTCTAACGGTATTGAAATTAAAAAAAATACATCTTGTTTTCGCAGGTAATTGTCAACAAGTTATACATAGTTTTATAACAAAGACGCCATTTTTGTAATTCTTATTGTTTGACAACAACAAATTTAACGCCATAATAATGACCAACCAAATAAGAGCAAATTAAGTTAAGTACATACTTGAAGTAAGCTAAGATTTGCTTGAGTTTTTTTTTTCAAAATGTATGGATTAGGTTTTTTATTAGACTATTTATGACTAATTAGATAAAACAAATCACAATTATCATTAATTTTTAAAATAAACCTAGAACAAAAATTAGATTTTATATTAAAACACATGGGTGCTTCAGCTGCGTGTTACCTGATGGCGCCACTAAGCTCAGCACTAGGCAGGCATGCCACTAAAATATATTAATATAAGTAATTTGATCATAATTTGATTCAATTTTATAGTTATAAAGTTAATTTAATTTAAAAGTGTGTAAATTAAATGTAATTCAATTAACTATTTCCCCGCTAATTTATCTAATTTGTTTCCTAACAGGTGGCAGCATGTAAATTGACTCAACACGTTCTTGAATGTTCAAGATGGCCGTCATTGTACTACGGGCGTTCATGTATAAATCATATATTCATTCGAATTTATTATGATTCGCGTGTTTATCGAAATTAATTATAAAGATTTCGTATAAATTTAATTAACGTCTGTAAAACAGATCATATAAACGTTTATCCACTCATATCAGTGTGTGTGTCATTTTCCTATGTATTTGACGTTTGAGTCAATGTGTGAGTATTGTTAAAGGATTTGATAATGTGCAAAAACAAAGTCGAAAAATCAATCGACAGTGCGAGGACATGGGGGTATTGTAAACGCATGGAAAAGGTGAGCTAATTAAGTCATTATTGAATAAAGATTGAATTTAAGGAAATTTTATTAGAAAATGAAGGACGTCGTGTAAAAATGTCGCATTATGATTATGGTGCATTATGAGTAATGGATTTTTAATGCAGTTTAAAGGATTAGCGGCTCAATATGGCAAATACATATATATACAACGATAAAATTTCTTAAATGTTTTTTTTTTTGCATATTTTATTTTCCAAAAAATAATTCTGCACCAAAATTAAAAATCCATTGTTAACAATTCATTAGTTTCTAATGCGCTCAAAAATCTATTGACAAAACATAAAATAATATTGTTTAATGTGACTGCTATAAAATATTTTAATTATACAAAATTATTAAAATTCAATTAGCAAATTATATACATTATTTATTTAACAAATTACAAACGACATGATTGTTCAATTATAATTTCAAAATATATAATATTGAATCCAAATATCGCAATATTTCAGAGCTAAACAATTAAACCAGTGACTTTCAACCTTTTTATATCGCGTTCCCGCTTTTTGAAAAACTGTTGCGGCGCCCCCCTTAATTTTTCTCACAATCTAACTTTATAAATCAATTGATATTATGATTTATGTATCGGGTACAAATTTATATAAAGCTGCCAAAATATGCATAAAAATAATTATTAATTCATTCATGTTTTATATTATTTCATCAATGTTATAGTTTTTTTTGGAAATATTATTTTGAAAGCCCCCTTTGCAAGAACATCGCGCCCCACAGGTTTGGAAACTACGGAAAAAATCAGCATTATAGATTTATTTTTATCGACCGTAACATTTTTTTAAATATTCAATATTATTTTTAAATAACCAACAACATTGGTTTAACTACAATTTATCGAAAATATGTATAATTTATCCAGGTTTTTAACTTCCCGAAGATAGTTTTCGCGAACAAATCTCTAATATTGCTAATTCCTTTGCTAATTTTATGTTTTCTCGACGTTTCAAGTCATTCTGAATCGAATGTTATCAAATTTGGAAAAAGTACGTGTGTATGTGTGTGTGTGTGTATTTAAGCCGATTTTGGACTTTTTGTCGACGATTTCTCAAAAACCTCTGGATCGAATTCAAAAATTTCGATTTCATTCCATGAAACTCGGTAAAGACTAACGTTTATAAATTTTGTGCTACGATCAGTCGAGCTGTTTCTTTGTAATTAGCAGAAAAGTGTAAAATTTTTGGTCCATGTTTAAGACTACAATTTTGAATCAAATTTAAAATTTCGAAGGATATTGGTTGGAAATCTCGTTGGTTAGTTTTTGGTAACGATCGAACGATTTGAAATTTCTTTTAGATTTTGATGAAACTTTGTATGACGATAGACATCGTGGTCTAAAATAACATAATAAAATATTATAGTCCTACGATAAGCGATTGAATTTTTAAAAAATCGTCAAGGTTTATAACTTCGCCCCGCGTTTAAGGGTTTCTAATCAGAATCTATGCACGTACTTATGCACGTTCCTAGATGTTGCGTAGTAGCTACTGATTACAGTTAACGTCCACTTTTAAATAAAATACATTTATAGAAACCGAAAATAATGAAATGAATTGTGTTAAACAAATTAATTTAATTTATACAATTACAGATATTATAAGTATACTTGAAAGAATGCAATTGGAAATAGTTGTGGTTATTTTTTCAATTTTTTTTTTTTCGAAATAAACAGCTTAACATTTTACCTAAATAGCTGAATATCAATTCTTAGAAGTTAGAAAAATTTTCCATATCTTTGCGTTTGAAAGATTTCAGAACATTTTGGCATACCTTACAAAATATGAATGTGTGTTTGTATGTGTATATACAACTTTTCGTCCACGATTTCGGGCGTATGGATCAACCTATTTGAATTATTTAAAAAAACATTCGATTCCTACTGATGGGGAAACGTGTTGATTAGGTTTTGGCAAAAACAGGTCCAGCCATTTTAGAGATACGAAGTACAGAGTGCAGAAAATGGAAATTAAGTCTCGAAAATATTCTGGGTTTTAATTTTAATTCTAAAGTTCACTTATATACCTGAAATAATTTTAATTTTGCAATTCAGTTTATATAATTTTTAGAAATAAGAGATAAGCGTTCTTCATTCTAACTCCGCTTGATTAAGTTTTGTTTGTTCACTTCTAATATAAACTTATATAATTGTAATCGTCCGATTTATAAGCATTTAACTTTTGTCTTCAAAATACTTTTTTTGACTATAAAATACGAATAATGAAAGTTACAGCATTTGTAAGAAAATATTTGAATACATTTAATATTCTTCGAATATTTCATTACGGTACGGGAAGTTCCAGCAATTTACCTTAAGGCACGATGCCATACACCACTAGTTTAACTACAATCCATCGAAAATATGTATAACTTACCCTGTTTTTTTCTATTTAGCGTTCGTTGAACTAAATTTTCCCATGGGGGCACCATAGAAATTCTGCCTTCCCCCTTCGTAGCACCATAATTGAAACTTTAGAACATTTAATGTTTGTCTCATTAATTCACAACCCATTCATTCATTTATTCTCTTTTTAAACTTACTGGCGTCCCTTTATTTCTATAGCAGTCTTAATCCTTATTTTGAATCTCCCCATAAATTTTAATATGTTAGGACAACCATACTGGAAAATTTCGTGAAAATCCTAATGGATTAATTTTGCTGGTTGGACATAGTTGGAAACAGATATAATTATTTACACTAACAGAACTTTTTTAAGGTAATTTTAAAATTTGGTTTGATTCGATTTCTTAAAAGTTGCAACAGTTTCAAGGTAAGAATATGCTACGGTGCAATCGACCAGTAGTATTCTTAATAGAATCTTATTTATTTTATGTTACTTTAACAAAAATGATCCCTATTACCAAATTTATTCATACCCCAAGATTTTTATCTAAATTGATATTGTTTTCATCATCATTGTTAAGTATCTATACCAAAAATAAATGAATGTATACTGTACCCACGTCTACAATTCAAAAGTTCCGAATTTATTAATATCCTATCATATACTTTTTAATACCCTATTTGATGTCCTGCCTTTGGGATTCATTTATGGTCTTATTATAAGCAGTATAAAAAATTCAGAAAAAAATAATATAGTATCTGCGGTAAAAGAACAATATCACACTTGATTTCACCACACAACATAATTGTTTCAATAATTTAGTCTATAATTTTCATAATCTTGTCGATATATTATTTGCGTTTTGGCAACTATAATTTCTGAAGTACATTTTTCTTACTAATAATTTAATAAACATTATTGTTTATATTCAAATATTAGGTGAATTACTTTGTAAAATCTAGTTCATATGAGCAGTCTATAATCTAAGATCAACTTGCTAAATAATCCATATCCAATGCCAAACAAATGAAACAAAATTCTAAATTCATTTCTTATAAGTAGAAACATTTTTTTGTATTGTTAAATAATTAGAAAAGTAAATCAAAATGCAACATGAATAAGTTTGAAAAAATAATGTATATGCAATTTGGGACTTGATGCGTTATTTATTAAACTTGATTATATAATTCCATCTGCCAAATATATATTGTTGACTGTATCTTATATTATTTTAATTTCTGGCACATCTCAGCTGCTTTTCGGCAATAATAATGTGGACATGACATTTTTCTTGTATATTATATTCTAATATTATCTACGCTCATAATTTCAGCTAAATCCAAATTTCAAGTGAATTGACATTTCTAGCAGATAAGAGTTCAAATGTTTTCAACGACAAACAATGATAAGTGTTTTATTGTAATTTTTGCCATTTATTTCTACAATATTATTAGATTTTTATCGTCCATTAAATCTTAAAGTCCATTTAGACTTATACCAATAAGTCCTTTGACAAACTCTAAAAAGATTTATCAAAATCCGAATAACCGTTTAGGAGAAGTATCAAATCATACACCCGTATAGGAGAATTTTATATATATATATATATATATATATATATATATATATATAGATTATAATATATATATAAGATTATAAATAACATAAGTCTTTATATATACTTACTATTCAATTTTACTTCGATTAGGTGATTTTTGGTAGTAGGTCCAGTAGTAAAAATTGAGTATAAAACTAGTGGGGTGGGTGGCATCGTGCCTTAAGGCAAATTGCTGGAACTTCCCGTACGGCAACGAAATGTTCGAGGAATACTGAATGTTTTCAAATAGATTATTATAAATATTGTAACATTGTCTAATATTTATAAGAATTATATAAACTGAATTGCAAAGTTGAAATTATTTGTTTCAACAAAAAACTAAAAAAAAAAAAAAAAAAAAAATGGAACAAACATTTTTTTTTCCAAAATCAATTATTTTGTTAAGACAAGCAGAAAGTTTTCTGAATAATTCAAATCGGACGCTTAGTTCTCTCAAAAACTGCCATTTTTTACATATTTAGCTCCGTATCTTCGAAATGGCTGGGCCTGCCTTTGCCAAAAACTAATAAACACTTCTCCCAATCATTACTAATTGAATGTTTTCTAGATCATTCAAATCGGATACTCCGTTCTCTCAAAAATTCGATTTCTATTTTTCGCACTCTTTGCTCCGTATCTCCGAAACGGCTGGACCTGCCTTTGCCAAAAACTAATCAGCTCTTTTCCCTATCAATAGGAATCGAATGTTTTTTGAACTATTCAAATCGGTTGATCCGTGCGCCCTAAAACGTGACTGGAAATTTGTATCCATACATACATACATACACACACACACACACATCCATTTTTCTGAGGTATGCCAAAACGTTCAGAAACCTTCAAAACGTCGAGAAATGTAAAAATTTTCAATTCCGATTTTCGGCCCATTACAATAACTTACCCTACGGGAAGTTAATAAATTCACAGAAAGAGAACAAATATTATTTCCTCTAGAGTTCAGTAATTGAAATAAATGCCAATATGCCGATATCCAATATAAGTAACAAATGTAATAATATATTTAT